GTCGATCTCGACACCGAGATCCTTCAGATTAATGCCAACTACAGAGAGAGCCGCTGTCTTTGAACGCAGTTTCTCGTCTCTGATTTCATCCAATGTACTTTTATGTCTCCATAGCTTGTCGTAGATAGTCTCACACGCTCTCCGTTCCACGGCTTCTTCCAAGGCAACACGCTTGGTTGCAAGATGCTTTCGCGCGATCCTCCTTTCAGTGACTTCTGATGCTGTCAACATCTGGCGGCCATCTGAACCTGTATTACTAGACTTGCCCTGCGCGGCACGGTACGGAGAAGGGTCACGGTTTATCCGGGAAGCAAGAGTAGAGATATGAGTAGCTATGTGTGATTCGGCTCGGACGTAGAATTCTTGGAACCGGCTCGATACTTTCTCGATTGTGGGAGGAGAGGAGTGTACCTTGGCAGTGAGAGAGTGGACAAATCTGCCAGTAATAACGTCAGCATCACATCAACGTGTAGGGAGAGTAGAGGCCCGACTGTACCTGTCTGTCATACTTGCGAGCTCTATTGGTAGTTCCTCCGTGTGACCCAAGCTACCTCGAGAGAGCACCGAGGTCTCCTCACTCTGCTGCGCATCGTCGCCGTAGCCTAAGTCGGCAGAGCCTGATTTCTCGAACAGGTCAGGGCTGCTATTCCGGTCCTCCTCGGCCGTGGACAAGGGTAACGGGAGTGCCTCGGCGTCTACCGACTCTGGTATTGCCACGGACTGAACAGTCTTGGCTCTGGAACGAACGAAAAGGCTCGTCTCGGGAGTGTCCATCCTTGGGAACGAGCGGGCCGTGTGTAGGCGCGGCTTTGCAGCGCCATCGTCGGCAGAATTGGCAGACATGGTTATATTAGAAAGAGTGACAACGGGGTATCAGTCCGACAAGCGTTGGGCTTTCAGCTGCTCATAAGATCGGCTCATACGAATGCAGCAGTTGGGGCCGGTGCGTATAGATGACACCTGGAACTTTAATCTGGCAACCCCAACCGAACGGACGGGTCAGGGGGAGAGGGTAAGAACTAGATCTGGGTGGGATTAGTTGTCCAAACCACACATCATGAGCAAACTGCCTCGCAGGCCAGGTATCAAAAGACGTCAGACCTCCAAGAAGAGGGGAGGAAAGTCAACAATCAATAGTGGCTCATGATTGCGCGGCGGAGTAAGCGTCGGCGAAACCCAAAAGCGGCGGACGTCACGCGCCAATCACGTGTGGCAGTCACGCTTTCTCCGCAATCGGGATTCCCGATGCGGCCTTGTCACGATAAGTGATCTTCGCCTAGCTTGGAGTCTGTTTTGGATGCATTCCTACCGAGTGAAGATGCGAAGGAGTTCGAGTTCAGTTCAAAGAGAAAAGGTATCAGTTACGCAACTATCTTACTATTCGTTTACATTTGTGGCTATGTCAAACAAGCATGACTAAATGAAGCATCAATTGAGTAAATAGGTATCATAACTATCTAGCATTCATCATTCTATGATGACTATGCACGTGGACTAAGAACAAGGCTAAATAAGAACAAGGGTAAGATACTATATTTTACAGACGGGAAGACTTGGAGTGGTCAGCCTTGGCCTCGGTAGCCTTCTCGATGCGGGCACCCAGATCGGGGTTCACACGATGGAACATGCCGTAGGTGGCCTTGCGAACACGCTCGTGGGCGGCGCACAAGTGAGAGGAAACGTTGTGGACAAAGTTGTCCTGCTGGCCGGGCTGGCGACCCAAGACCTGCCAAAGGCCGTTGGCCTGCACGTAGTCCTCATCGGTGACGGGCAGCTGCTCAACAACGACGGAACCGGCCCACTTCTCGTGCTCCTGACTGGCCTTCACGGGCTGGTAGTTGTAAGGACGGAAGGTGGAGGGATAGTTGGGGTTGGCTCCGTAGTTGCCGTGCACGTTCATGTAACCATCACGGTGCCAGGGGCTGAACGAGCGGAGCGGGCAGTTGACGGGGATCTGCTCGTAGTTGCCGCTCAGACGGTGGCGCTGGGTGTCAGGGTAGGAGAAGAGGCGGGACTGCAAGACAGGGTCGGCAGAGGGCTCCACACCCGGGACCATGTGCGAGGGGGAGAAGGCGGCCTGCTCAACCTCGGCGAAGTAGTTCTCGGGGTTCTTGTTCAGAGTGAGCTTGCCAAAGCGGCGCAGAGGAACCTCACTCTGAGGCCAGACCTTAGTCAGGTCAAAGACGCTCCAGCGGAACTTCTCGGCCTGCTCGGGGCTCAGGACCTGGACGTAGCAAGTCCATGAGGGGTTCTCGCCACGCGAGATAGCGTCGAACAGGTCCTGGGTGTGCCAGTCGGGGTTTTCAGCCGCCAGGCGAGTGGCCTCCTCGTTGTTGAAGGTCTTGTTGCCCTGGTCGGTCTTCAGGTGGATCTGGACATAGTTGAAGGTGCCGTCGGGCTTGATCCACTTGTAAGTGTGGCCGGAGTAGCCGTTCATGTGGCGGTAAGAGTAAGGCGTGCCACGGTCACTGAAGAGGTGCATGACCTGGTGAACGGCTTCTTCGTGGGTGGAAAGGTAGTCCCAGAACATGGTGGCATCCTTGAGGTTGGTCTGGGGGTTGCGCTTCTGGGTGTGAATGAAGATGGGGAACTTGGCGGGATCACGGAGGAAGAAGACAGGGGTGTTGTTGAAGACCCAGTCCCAATTGCCCTCTTCAGTATAGAACTTGATAGCGAAGCCACGGGGATCACGCGCGCTGTCCGCAGAGCCCTTCTCACCACCAACGGTTGAGAAGCGAGTGAACAGCTTGGTCTTCTTGCCAATGCCCTTGAGCATGTCGATGACGGTGATGTCGCTGATGTCATCGGTGACCTCGAACTCACCAAAGGCGCCAGCACCCTTGGCGTGGACAACACGCTCTGGGATTCTCTCTCTGTCGAAGTGTGCGAGGAGGTCGATCAGGTGGAAGTCCTGAAGCAGAAGGGGTCCGTTGCGGCCAACGCGCTGGGCAGCCTGGGGGTCCATAACCTGAGATGTGTCAGTATGTTATCCGTAAGTGGACCATATGATGTCGGCGCAGCATACTGGGCAGCCATTGGAGGTAGTGTAGATGGGCTTCTCATTGTAGCGGTAGGTCTCTAAAAGACGGAGCAGCAAAGTTAGTTTTCAGTTCACATTTCAGGTCAGATGAAAGCTAGGGTAGTATAGACGTACTGGGTTGGTCGTCCTTGCCCATGGTGACGGTTTGTAATAAGAGTTGATTGAAAGTGTTGCAAGAGTGATAAATTGAAGATAGCTGAATGCGGGGTTTTAGTAGATTGGAGAGCTAGCAGTGGTTCGTTGATGGGGACAAGGAGGTCCTTGGGAGGAATGCGGGGAGTAAAAAAAGCCGCGGAGCGAGATCCCAATGAAGGAAGAAGTAATTGCAAGAACTGAAGCAGCAGCGGCAAGGGAAGAAAGAGATTATAAGGAAAAGAGCAGACGATCCATTGAAATATTTGAAGGCGGGTGGCTCGTCGCCGAGGGAGGCAGATGGGGAACCCCGTGCAGCAACAGCCAATGATGAGGCCGGGGAAGGTCAACACGGTGGTTCCACAGAATCGCCTGCCTCGATCAGTCCCGCTGCCCGTCCGATTTCCCGCCGGTTCAGGTACTATGACTTATGCCATTGACCTGATCAATTGATAGTTGAGCTCACCTATAGAACCCTATATTGGCCTGAAGCTATCCCAATGCTTCTGGGCAGCAATGAAAGAAACTCAAAGATTCATTTGCACATTAACCTTTCTCGGAAGTACGAAACAAACAAAATCACCCAAAAGGAGCTTTCCGATACGCTAATTTACCCCGCACAGTTGCAGCCAATTCCGCCAGGGGTGTCCACCAATCAGCACCATCTCGATGTCAGAATGTCGACCAAGTTTAGATTTCCCCACGTTATTTCCACTGAAGGAGATTGACTCCTCTTAACTATGTTGAGGATGATGTGGAGGATGAGGATGTTCTAGATAGTTCACTAATATAAGTGGTGTGGTGTGGACGGAGATCCCTAACACGTAACCACCTAAACGAGCACTGAAACGGCCCGAGGTGGGCATGCAAAGCTCCCGGGAGTCTACAAAATGCGCTAACAATCGAGGTTAGTTTATCCGCTAGTGACTTAGTTAGCTGTTGTGGTCTGATAAAGTGATAATCAATCTTAGTCAATGGACCTGGCCAGAAGTTCTCTGCTTTTCTGCAGCCCGCCAGCCCTGCAGGCACTAATACTCAGTACTACGGGTTGGCCGTCTGGACCTTCCGCGATCCCCATCGTAGAAATCCTATCCGGGCGTATTTCTTGCCTCATTGGGAAAGTGGATGTCTTTGCTGATTCTCTACAAGAGGAAGGCAATCCTGTTTGACCTTCCTAATCAGGTGATGTGATACTTCGAGCTGTTGTTCGTTCGCTGTTACCTAAAATAGTAATTAAATGAGATCTTCATGATAAAGATAGCTAGTTGGATGAACGGTATATGATCAAGGGGAGTAAAGCGATGATGTTTCGAACGCGATAAAGATAACCCCCACATTCTTTGGAACACAAGTTTCCCTGTATAATTCTCTCTGCTCAGGACCTTTCCATTCGCTACTGTGCGATATTCATGAATACAATTGGCCGAGGTAACCATTTGTCTGTCTCCAGCACCAATTGCGGCTATGATTGTCGGCTTGTCAAGTCAATATGATGATCACCCGATTCCTTGACATTATTGCGAAAGTTGTTTCTCTACCGACAGCTACGTCAGATTCAACGGGGAGTTCCCCGCGGAAAGCTCCGCCCTCCGAAGCGGAGCGAGATTCTCCTAGTGGAATAGGAACCCGAGCAGCAGATGCCTCGGAACACCCGCCCGCTCGGTTCCGATCGCGTTCATGCGAGTTTCTACGGAGTAGTTTACGCTTCATGCTTTTGAGTTTTACTCATCCTCAGAAAGTCAATTTGTCCTGCAAACACGCAATTCATATAGATACAGTCAAATCAGTCATTAAGCCATACCCATTTGAGCGAGAAAACAATTAACATCCGTCAAGCCCATTACATAGCAGATTCATCAAGTCATGTCATATCCAACCGGACCTCGCCGTCACCTTTACTTCCGATCAGCATCCGCACCGGATCTGTCGCCATTGATGCTGCTAAGGATGTCTCCAGTCGACTGTCCGACGCCCCGGGTTGTGTTGCCCAGGCCTTCAGTGGCACCCCCAACAGTCTTTCCAAGACCCTGAGTCGCACCGCCGGCAGTCTGACCGAGTCCTCCCACAGTGTTTCCCACAGTGTCTCCGAGTCCTCCTACAGTGCTTCCGACAGTGTCTCCGAGTCCGCCCACGGTCTTTCCTAGGGTATCGCCGACGCCTCCAAGGAGGTTCGCTATGTACTTACGCATTAGCAACAGGTGTGAAATGGTATCGAGGTATTATGGGATTTGGTACCCAGGGGTGCGAGAACTTCATAACGCGACCGACTAGTTAAGTCAAGGCACAAACAAGGGAGAATATAACATAGGAACAGTAGGTGCGAGGGTCGATGGTCACTTACGGTTGTTGTTGTTATCGTTGCCAGAAGACATGACGTCGATATCGCGGCAGCAAAGCTACTTCAGTGAGGAAGTTCTTGGAGGAAAGAAAATTATATTTTGAATGGAAAGTATGATTTTTAACCAGACTGACGATGCAGTATAGATCAAAGTAATCGCTAAATGTTGTGATAACTGTTCTTTTTATATATCAGGGTACATAGGCACATGTGTCCAATATCCAAAGTCGCCACGGGACGCTCCATCCCCCTATGATATCATCGTGTTCTGAAACCAAGATGGTACCACAACCCGCAGCCAATGGATTCGGGAAATCGAAGATCTGATGGCATCGCCTGATGACGCTCGTCCGCAAAATGATGAAATAAGGCCCTGGCCGTTATGACAGTGGCGCGACGACCCCTACCTGCGATACTGGTTGTGGTGCTTATTGGTCCCCACAGACATCCGCATACGTAGGGAATATGCGAGTAAATATGGTACTATAGCAGCACGAGACCATATCTTTCTAACCAGATATAGGGTTTAGGCAGCGATGAGAATCATCTTCCTAGCCAACCTGTATTGTTGAACACATTTGCGCAACAACTATCAACCAAGCGGATTGACTTGGGCAGTTGCAGTATTGGGGCTCATCCCTTCACTCTGGTCCACTAGTCCAAGCCGGTCGGGATGGCTAGTACTAATTACCAGTGACTACCAGTAGAGAAGGCCCGTCAGCTCGTCGATAGGAACGGGCTTCGGTTCTGATACAATCAGCCTGAATTCACATTGCACAACATAGCCGTCAACCACTTGTAACTCACGGACGAACAGAAAAATGCCCCCAATATCAACTTGAATCAAATAACACCTTTGTATCCTCGCTCATAATGGATCCCCCCTATCCATCACCCACCCCAACTTTAACAACACCCTCCAAAGCTTGTTCCGACTTAGGACATGGGAACCTAAAAAAAATTATCTTCCAATCGACCAGGGGGGCTGTCAGGGTATTAGCAGATGCACGTGATCGAAGGTCTCCAAGTTACCCAGCCTATGGTCAACGAGCATGTTTTTGGGCACCCTCATTCTCTTCACCTGGATGATCGCTTTTTGACCACCTTGACCCAACCGTGTCCTTCAATATTCACATCAATCCTGTGTCTTATTCCTTCTTTCCACCACATGAACTATAACCAGCCAGAATTTTTTTACGCTCCAGAAAACTCCAATGTCTTCCTTGTGACATTGCTCACTTACGCCTCCTTCGAGGCCTTACGTGAAGCGATCAACGTACATATGGTGCTCGCTCGTTGGGTGGGTATGGCCGGCTCAAGCTGGTTTTCCTCCTTAGTTACCATGTTGATCCTTTGGTGTGTCATCTTCCCGAGGATCCCACCCAAAACTACGATGGCTTGAGAACACAGACAAGACCTAAGAGCGTCCTCCAGTCTATGCATGCCTATATCATCTGCTTATGTTGACCTAATCGCTTCGGAGTTCGTACGGTCTCAGGCTAATAAGTGCATAGGTGCTGAGGAGGGGCATGTCTGGGGTAGTAGGTCAATTGAGCGGGTATGGCCTTTTTTCCATCCGGCGGTTCATTAAATGCCAAAAAAAAAAGAAAGAAAAAGAGAGAAAAGAAAAAGAAAAAGAAATTGGTGAATTGTAGCTAAAACGGTGTCCGATCCTCCACAATTGACAATGCGTTGTTCACCAAAATGAGGCCCATAATTACACTTTCCTTCACCAGCCTAAGAAAGACAGAACCTCAATTCTACAATCCCATGGGACTCCCATCTTAGCCCCATGGAACCGGACTGGACACCTCACTCCCATCTCTTGGCACTCCCGTGGGACCATATGGTGGGAGTTAGGCAAGGCCTGATCTGGCCTATAGCCCAGTTGGCATTTGTTGTTCTAATACGGCCAAAGCCGGTTTCGGAGCCATTGATCCCTCTGATTTTGGACATAGACTACCTTATTTCTATCGGTGACCCTACTGCTGGTCTACTAGATTAAACTCCCGGTGTACTTCACTTAAAGTTTCAACTATTTTTGGACGTACTCAATCATCATTCAGATAGTTCATGACGGTGATGACAGATCTGATGCTCACTCAGCCAATCAATCAATCAAAGTTCCATTAACCTGTTGCAATCTAACTAGTAGACTATGATCATACAGGCGTTTTCTCTAGCGGAAACAAGAATCTATAACCGGACGGCTAGGGCTAGGTACTAGCCATCACCCTTTCGAAACAGCTTAGCCACGGAGCGGTGTGTAGTAAGTAAGACAAATGTAAAGGCATACAAAGCGGTATAATATCATTTTCGGCACAGGTATTAAAATCAAATTGAGGTGTAAGATGGCTACCGTGCCCATTAAGGATCAATAGCCGAAATCGCCCTCGTACACGCGAATTGGTGTATAGAATGAAGATCTTTTGGAGCCAGCGCAGGGCCGATTTCATTGGTAGTCCAGCCATTATATGGTACTTCGTTTCGGCAATCCCTAGGGAGATTTGATCTAAACCAACCAGCGATATAAACCTCGCCCTTAAGTATAATACAGGGCGGCAGCGAATAGCAGTCAGCGCATATGGTTTCGATCGTAGTAACCCATTCGCGATTACCGGGCTGGAGGATTGATGCCCATCATAGATTTATGGTGTCGGATCCAAGTTACGCGATATGCACTAATACTAGAATAAGACAATGAGACCGTTGCATGGTATTATTTGGGATGTGTTGCTCTAAAAAAGGGCTTCGAAAGGAATGTGATCATTCGTGGAATATTCATGAATAATATGAATATGAATAAGGCCTGTTGAGACAAAGTGGTTGTGTTAAGTTCTTAGTTAACTATAAGAGTGGGAACACCATCTAATTTAAGCATCTAGTCCCATCAGAAGCCTTGACCAGCGCGATGTGGGAGAGGGGGGGGTCTTCGGCGGTGTTGAAGGCCGAGGCATCGCATTCGTCCCATTGGAGGTAGCCGCCAGGTTCTACCATATATATTCTTGTTAGTATTACGGTGGGGCGGAAGGGGGCGGCATGTAGACATGGATGTATATGGTGGACGTACTCAGTAACTCGACCACATTCCGAACCACAACAGGATAATCTTCCTCTTTCAATGCCACGACTAACAATCGCAGGTGCACAAGATCGTACCGTCCACGTTGGTCCTCGTGAAACCGGCCACGCATGTCATGTACCGAGAAAAAAGTTTCATGGGAGGGGTTGACGTCCTTCGTGAACGGGTATTGCGCGGGCGAGATGTCGAAGCCGTGGAGGTAGAGGCGGTTGGAGGGGGTGGGGTGGAGGGCGTCTGTTACGGAGGTGAGCCAGATCCTATTTCTCTCACCTTGTTAGACCTCGTCTTTCTTGCCTTTTTTATAACGTTCAGGGTTTGTGGTTCTCCAGCGTATAGTTGGGGATAGGCGTACCCCGTGCCGGTAGCGACAGCTCGCCATGGTGCATGATAATAAGTACGTAGGGAATGATAAGCGTAGAGTCCACCAACAGACACACAGTTGACAACAAGAAAGAGATGTTGAGAAAAGAGATGAATTAAGACAAGGGAAGATGCGATCTCAAATACCATCACATCCGCTGCCGCCGTCCCTCTCCCAAGAGTCCGGAAACCCCCCCTCACACGCCCTCTCTAGTAACCTCACTAGTCCCCTCTCCGATACAAGCAGAGACATGCATCCCTCGCAGAACGGCGAATTCCCTGGCGCGATTCACTTCAGCTTGACAATCCCGCGAGTGGTGGTGGATCATCAGCCTATTTGGGAACCGTGATACCATGTCCTACTCTTACAGACCCGTCTGAAACTGCATTCCATGTCCTGTTGTAGAGAGACTAGTTATCAAACCCCAGTTGCGGTAGCAAGTCAGGGACTTTGCCAGTATAGGCTGCTTATGACAAAAAGAGCCCATCCACAAGAGCAATTAGTATGAATAATTATATTAGATCTCCGAGCTTAGGGTTCGAAAAACAGTTCGCTCCAAAACACATCTTGGATCCTGCTCTTCGCGTGTGCAAGCCCGTTGGTTCCAATACGTCCTACCTATCTATCCTTTCAAGATGATATCAACAAGGAATAATCATCACGAGTGGCCAGCGATGGATTTCGGTTGATTTTGGACATGTACCGGAGTTTCCTTGGCTAACATATCAATGCTGTTGTTCTGTTTCTTGAAGATCTCCACTTCACATCCACCTCGAAGGATGGCCACTCGTAAAGTTGCCAGTATATTATTTGCGGCGTTTGAATGGAGGTAGACGGCACCATTGAACAAGGTGGTAGCATCCTTCCCTAGTGCCATGCGCATCATCGACTCGCCTCCAGGGTGTTCATGAATAAACTTCGACACATCGTGAACGACTCCACCGATTAGTATTAAAACGTGACCCTGCGTAACCTTATCATGATACTCATCCCACTCCATAACAGGTAGCTTACTGAGTGGCGGCCCCCAGTCAAGGGATTCTCTTTCAACATTCAGTTTCTTGAAGACTTGCTGTAGCCGGCTCTTACCAATCTCATTTTGCCGGAAACGTTTCAAATCGTAGGCTAGTCCCAGTTGTTCGCAGAGCCTGATAGCCCACTTGGTAATATCAGGCTGATACCATTCAATCCCATTGCGGTAGTCGGAGGGAAACTCATGGTGGAAATTGTGATACCCCTCTCCCATCGTGATGAGAGCAGTGATGAGATGATCCCGGGATGAGCGGCGGTCATCGTAGGGCTGTTCCCCAATCCAATGAGCCAATGAATTCACACAGAACGTCGCCTGGTTAACAAAAAAAGACCGAAGAATGCCTGCATAGAGGAAGCCTCCGTACCAGTCGTTCCAGCCCAGGCCAGCGACTAGGGTTGGGAACCCCCATCCCATGAAGAAAGCAGCAAGGAAGTAGTACCTATGCTGCAGCGCCACCACACAGTCATTCTGGAGATCGGATATATCCACCCTGTTGTTTTTCCGGGGCTGTTTCGTGATCACCCAGAGAATATGTGCATGCAGCAGACCCTTCTTGACATTATATGGGTCCTGATCTGTGTCAGTATATCGATGGTGGGCTCTATGTTCTCGAACCCAGAATTTGATAGAACCTTGCACCGCTCCTGCACCAAATGCTGCTAGCAGCCACTTGAGTGTTGGGGAGGCGGAGTAGGATCGATGGGCCCATAATCGGTGGTATCCTGAGAGTTATTCACGTATCAGTACTATATTATTGGTCTGAATGCTACATATACCCATACGTCGACTGCACTTGACCCGCTACTTGAGGACTCACCTGCGGTCACGGATATTGCAGTTGTAACGTAGTATATAATCGACAGTACCAGTGTTTTCCGATGCATAGGAACCCAGGGAACTTGTAGGAAGGCAATAAGAGGAATGGTTATCAGCATGGTAAAGTTGAACCAACGGACTTTATTACACCAGGACGAAAGGGTCGTTATAAAATCGTCTTGGTGTAATTGGCCTGCTGTTGGTATTTTCTCAGGCTGGGTGTCGTGTAACCCTTCTATCACCTTAGGATTCCTCTTTCTTTCACCCATTGTGACGGTATCTGGAGTTGGGGGAAATCTCTGGAAACAGGAAGCTAGAAGCAGTTCGCTGGACACATCCTGGTGGAAGACGCCCGTTGTTAAATATATCCACAGTTTGTGGGATGCTTAGGTCGAGGCATGCAGGCAACGTCATCTCTAAACTTAAATCTCGATATTTTCAAGGTTGTCTGGTTGTCCTCCCTGTTTTATTTATCGTTACTTTTTTTAATGGATACGTCCAACGACAATAGAGTGACCGATGTATATCCCATTATGCCTAACATCCGGGGAATGCGGATCCCCGGATGTATTGTGCAGAGACAAGTATACATTAGGTCAATATACGGCGAGTACTTACTCGACTGGCTAAGATGTGAGCCAAGCAGGTCTGGTTAGTCAAAGAGAAGGTATGGCCACATCTCATCGCTGCCTACGGAGAAAAGGATGCCATTTCTTGATACTATCGATGGCAGATCTTTTTTATTGCATCTGCATAATGCACTAATTGTGAAGATGGTCCCCTTCCTGGCAAATGAAATTGTGAGGTAGTTCCTGGTGTGACACCGTTACCAACGAGCAGCCGATGATCACCTGAACGACTGCCTCTGGATCGGAAGCTCTGTTACGGGCAAAACTGGTGTAAAACTCCGGCGATAGCACTTGAAAATCGAGAAACTGCACATCATCAGATGATTTGTTTCAAGCCGAAGGAGACCGCATACTTTCTGCGGGTCTGCGGCAAGGCCCCCTGCTATTCCTGTGGATCCATACCGCACCGTAATGGGCATAGTAGTACTTTCGACAAGGTGTCGTAGATATTGACGGAAACGACATTCTAACCCTTGTTCTATGTTAGTGGCCATTCAACCTATGCCCTCCTTTGGGGCTAGAGGCTGGGGCTGCATCAGAAGTCTTCTCCGTAACCGTAGTTTAATCGCTTCAAAAACAATGCGCGGGCCAATAAGGAAACCGACCCATCCCCATGAGAGAGCGATTCGATACTTCTCCCTTTAGCAGAGAGCAGACAGCTTGATCCCTGGCCCCTTGGAACGAATGCTCGCTACCATTTTAATCTTACCTTCGGGGGTCATCAATGAAATCCTGCTATTAAGGGGAGTTTCCCCGGATATGGTGGCCAGGTGATCTATTGTGGAAATGGAGTACTCTCCTTCCAGAGAGTTGAATGGGGAGACATAAAGCTCCTTGATGCATTTCGAGGGCACCATTGTTATTGCATCGCGCTCAATGGTTGATTTTTCTAATAGTTTTACGTGATATGCAAGACATTCTTGAAAGGTATTGTTCACTTCAAGTACAAGACCCGTCAATGTCCGTTCCGCAGAATACGTATACCAGTAGGTTGCAGGGTTGAATGAATACCCCAAAATTTTAGGAGCGGTAAGTAAATAGACATAAGAGAAGTCTACCATCCCGTTCCAGGCACAAAAACGTACTGCCCCTCGGCCTTCTTTTCACCTCTCCATCGGACAAATGTCCCTATCCAGAGGTACGAATAGGAGAATATATACATACTGGGAGAGAGACGAGTATGCCTCAGTGTGCATGGATAAAGAGAAGTGTCACACATTCTTTTTATGTGCCTCCAAGTTCATATCATTGCCGGACAAGGATAAATAGAATAGTGGTTTGATATCGCAGATGATGGGTCCGGATATAAATAAAATGTTCATAAGCTGATCCTTGCCAGATACAAAGCTGCTAATATGTCTTCATTATGTACAACTTCATAGTTCCTGTCAAGGCGGGTGAGAGTCCATAAGTTAAGCTGCTTCCGTAATATGTGTAATTCTTCCAACCATGACCCAAGGTTAATCGATTACCATTATGAAGCCCAATGAGGGGATAGGAAACGTTCAAGCAATCCTCACCGCCAGTTCCTTTACCGCTAGTTCCCTTCACAGAAAACGCAACAACCCGAGGCACTTACGGATTGGTCTCCTTGCGATGCTAGTTCAAGCACGAGCTTTGCAGACTTTCTGTCAGTTGACGTTCATCGCTCGAAGCAATCATGATGCCTATGGACTTACCACTAGATTTCGGATGGATGGAATGAAAGCTACTAGTCCTACAATTTCCCTTTTCCCAATTACCTAACCGCCTAGCCCTGATAAAGCGCGCTAGTAGATAGTTGATCTTTGTGCAACTTCGAGTGCGACTTGTCTCCAATAGTCCGTGTACTGTGTTACACAATCCTTAAGGAGCCTGCGTAATCTCTTTCATTTTACGTAACTAGCACCCTGACCAGCTCCGATGTAATTGATAAGAGGGTAACACAACATATGCAAGACGCTGCATCATTCAGACACGGGACCTCCGTCAATGAAATTGACCTACTACAATTGACCCCAGTACTTTTGTTAGTACAGTGAGAAGGTGCAGGGATCTGAATCCTTTGTTTTCTGCTGTTCATATGATTATCAATACCTCAGATGGCCATTCAGCGTTTGCATTCAAGGCTTCACCATGGCGATCTAAAGAAGGCGGTGCCGTATGGGAGATCTACCGCTTCAAGAATTCAAATCCCTGCAACTCTCCACCGTACTAACAACTCACCGGGGTCAACCAGAGTAGAAGATTTTGGGTCTCGTCCAAATTTTAATCAACGTTGCTCAGGAAGTTCTAATTCTAACCCGTAATAATCCTAAACTCGGTTTCTCTGACCACTCCTTCTTGTGAGATCACACTATAAAATTATCTCCAAATATGGAATCCCTTCGCCAAATCATAATCGAAAAGCCCCTATCCAGCGCCAGTGAAATTCTTGAGCAGCAATTAGATGGACTTTCAGAGGCTAAGCAGTTAGATCTGCTAACAGAGTTGCCCACAATTGGTCATGAGGCCGATGAAAGAATGGCCGAAGTGATATATGCCGCCTGGTGCCACCTATGCGAGAAGGATCTCTGGTCCATTCAGTACGACACCCTAGAGCAATATAGAAGAGTCGTTGGGTACTATGACATCATCAGGCCTATCATTCGCCGATTCAAACGATCCGACAGAAAGAAGTTCTCAAATATGGATCTGATTGAAAGCAACTGGAATGCGCCGGTGACGGAGGCCATACCGTCACATATTGCCCCTCAATCATGGAGTAAACATATGCTTTCTCTCCTCGCCACATTAAGCAAAGAGAAACAAAGGGAGGAAGCAGTAGCGCTGCTTGAAGCCAGCATCGACCAAAGACCTCATAAATCGCGTCATTCAAGCCATTTGATTGCGAGTGACGTGCAGCGTATTCTTGAAAAGCCTTCTACTGTCAAGTATAAAAGAGAGAGAGAAAAAAGTAAGGGAGCTTGACCCCAAGCATGGCATTTTTACTGACATGTTTAGGGTCGTCAGGTCCAAGGAAAAGCAGAGTTCGCAGCCACGCCCACTCTCAATCTTCACCTGAAACGGAGCCAAGTTCAATCTGCCCCACTCAAAACCCAATTCCAAGTGTCACGAGCGAGCCTAGCGATGCTATGAGCCTTGATTATGATTTGGAAACCCAGACGGGACCAGACAATTGTGATTGCTCGCCCATATGTCTTCCTTTGGTGATGCTGATGTCCGTGGGTATGCCTACAATGACACAAGAACTCTCTATAGCCCTACTCAAATGGACTCAGAGTGTGTCCTGGTCTAGTCTTTGCATTCCTCATCTACAACAACTAGCAGCATACAAGTATGGCGACAATGCAAAACGGTGGTCGCGGCTCCAGTTAGTTAATAGGGTGGAACAGCTTTTACTGCCTCGTGACAAGGCCAGAGAAACGCCATTCTGTAGGTAGGAGCAGTATAACGTAGGACAAGCAAGGAGCTGATCCGTCGCAGGGAATGATCCAGGAATGCGCATCTTTGAGTCGGAAGACTCAGTTTGTTCCGAAGATCTTATTTCGGGTCTTTCAGATCTTTCAATCCCCGGCCATTTGGCGCTGAATGCTGGGAATTCCCGTGAACAGCAGGAGCAATCCCCTCCGACGCTATCATTTCGATCATCGCTATTCTACTGCGGCCCGACCAGCTTGCCATTGAGTATACATTGTCTTTTCTTTGCAACTCGCGACCATTACTGCTTTCTTGAGTGGGGAGGCCCTGATCTATTTTCTTCGTATACGTGCAGTAGGGATGTGTTTAGTTTTCTTCACTACCTTTTCCCCGGCGAACCCGTGAGTTGGCTGAACACTAGACTGTCCATCACCAGTCGGTTTTCAGATCAGACGGTAGTCGATATCCCATTCATAATCCTACCAAGCGAATTGTACACGGACTCGTTGAGAAGCTTTCAGCTACATGCCAACGGTGTCCTCACGCATTGGATCTCATGCTGGTGCCAGAACACAAGTCTCGATCAGTTTGTGCTACAGCTGGCAATATGGCTATAGCAGATCTGACCGCAGGAGAGATGCACTCGAACATAGGGAAGAAGCTCATTTGAGCAAATCTCCCCTTGAGCCAGAATCTTTTGCCCAAAAACATTGTCTGGAATCTTTAGAACGCAATCAAAGTTTGATTGATTGCTACTGGACGAGACGAACATATGGATGTAGCATCCCATAAGGCATTAATGTCGTGCTGGGTGATGTTGCTGTACCTAATAAGGGGGTGCGCACTCTGACTACTGCTGTTTGAACAAATGTTCAGTAACGATATTACCTCGGATTAGCTGTCGGTCCGCACAATGCATCCGCTAGGTAAACTCAAGGTCGAAGTACCAGCAGAGGATGGCCGCTCCTCATTACACTCAGCAGAATGGCACCGAATTTGAAACCCACAACTCGAGCTTCTTCCTATTCACTTGTCCAAAGTACATGTTAGAGTGGCTTTTCGTCTTTGTTTTTGAAATCCATGCAGTTGATCAAGCCAGCGACTTGCCCCAGCCATTCAAATCAAGACACATCGCTGTACGAATGTGGTCCTACCCCAGTACCATTATGACAAGTGCATAACACAACCACCATTCTGGTTTGACCTTACCTCGGGGTCAGGTCCATTCGTGCTCTGCAATCTGACAGAATACCTTAGACGATGCTGCCGCTCCAAGACAAAGTCCACCACGTCCAGTCTATATGCCGACGGTCTGAGTAGTGCATTTGTTGATACGGCAGTCAATATTGCAATTGGAATAGAAACTGCTTCCACGCCATAGAGCAAACTTAGCAGGTTTACCCGTGCCGTAAGGCTCGTTTGGGGCAGCGCCTTTTTTCGGTCGATCATCGGCACGGAACTAGAGTCGGATAATTTCTCTCTAGAAATCACTCACCTTGATTGCCATCGATTCTGAACCTTTTTCTGCCCACAGATGTGACTGTTTTCCGGAAGTTTCTAGGATTACCTGGAATTTCAGCAAGCGTGTTAGCAATCTGGCAAGCGTGGCATGGGCAAGCCAAATGGCAGTAGTTCCCACATTGGTTGTTGGTTGGATCGAGCTTGTTCGGACCCAAATCAGGGGGCGGAGGAGGAGATGAAGTTGTGGACACAGCAGCCAACTTCTTCAGACACTTGTCTCGCTCACCCTCTATTACTCCTTGCTTCGTTTTGCAAGTATCCCTTTCCCCCTTGTACTGATCTCGTTTGATCTCGCAGATATTTTTGTCACTATTAAATTGGCCTTTTGTCTGATTACAATCCTTCAACCTCTGCTCCGACTCCTCTGGAGTCTTATGGGAGGAGGCGGCGGGGAAGAACACCACCGCTGCCGGGATCTTGCTTCACAATTGGGCTCAGCAAGATCGTTTGGGATTAAGGATCAACATCCCCGTTAAGTACCTGGGACTGGGCCGGATATCCCCAGCACTCGTCGCCGGCACTCTCGTCAAAGACTACGGCATCACAGTTCGAGCTCAGGCTGCACAGCTCGAAACATGCCTCGGGCGAGGCGGTACCGCTGTCGACTCGGTCACCATCCACCTAGAACGGGAAGTATCCACCACAGGAAACAGTATAGTCACCTCCTCTCAAGGTGACGGTTTCGGTGTCCTTATCCGGACAGAGGCTGTCGTAGGTGAGATAGTCTCCTAACGCCAGGTGGCCAAGAAGGGGCAAGAAGGAAATGAATCGGAGTCGAGTCATTTTTCGAGTTTCGAGCCGCAAAGGGCTCTAGGCTGCTCGCAAGAAAGATATGTATCAACTTGTCAGGTGCGACGGCGAAGAGAGAATCCGTGTAGGGGAAAGGGAACATATGTTATCATATATTGCATCTGGACAATCTGGGTTCGAATACGCGGCGTGAAAACCCATGACGTGGATCCACTTTCAGCTGAGGCCCAGAGAGTCACCAGAGACTTCGATCTGAGGGCACAAATATTACGATGAAACCTGGGCAGTGCCAGGATATCAGGAAAACACGTGCTGAAAGGCTTTGGTGGAGAATCATGTTACATTTAGCCAATAAATTAAATGTCCACAGTCTATCACTGAATGCTCAACCAGCCTTCTTTAGAGTGCCGCCAGTGTTGACCGTTGATGCCCATAGATAGATCCCTCATTGTGCCCATCACATATTCCTGCTTCGGCATCCCATGTTCAATTGAATCCCTGACTCCTGAATATTGAGTGGCGATTGTTCAACAGAAAATGTCAGGTTAAGTCTGTATAGGTGCATATTTTCTAGAGAGGGTACTTCAATCCTTTCGCACGTGATTAATCTATGGTCAATCCTAGCGCCGGTCCAGTCAGCAGGGGCTGTAGTTAGCAGTTATCGCCAACTTCCATGAATTGGAACGCGATCTCAGTCTAAGGAATATCACCCACAACAATGACATCGACAATGACAGAAGTCAGAACCGACCAGCAACACGCGGCAAGCGTTTCGGGCAATACAGACAATAACGGATTTTCCGGTCCTAGAGACAGACCGGCAGCCACCTTCGACACGATAGCCGATAGTGCCAGCCTGCATGGAGAAGCCGAGTATCCCAGCGGCACGAAGTTCTGGCTCCTCATGCTCACCCTAGCTGCCATTCTAATCTTGAGCAGCATAGACATGAACATCGTCGCCACAGCCGTACCTAGCATAACAGACTACTTCCACACTGTTGCAGACGTCGGATGGTATTCCTCTGCATTCAGACTCTGCCAGTGTTCCTTCCAGTTTGTTTTCGGCAAGGCGTACAAGCTCTTCTCTATCAAGACCGTCTTCTTACTTGCCAATGCAATCTCCATAGCAGGTTCGCTACTCTGCGGCGCCGCCAGTACCTCGACCATGCTGGTCGTAGGTCGGGCTATAGCTGGCCTAGGATCCGCAGGCCTCCTCTCCGGGTGCTTCGTTATCCTCGTACAATCAACACCTTTACACAAACGACCCATGTTCACCGGCATGATGGGCGCTGTCGAAGGCCTAGCTACACTATCCGCACCACTTCTCGGCGGAGCCATCGTGCAGTCCATTGGCTGGCGATGGTGTTTCTACATCAACGCGCCTCTCGGTGCCGCTACCCTAGCACTGACCATATGTTGTTTCTCAGACCCGCCAAAACCCAGCGCCATCGCCCGCATGGGCCTCAAACAGAAGATCATACAACTCGACCTGACAAGCAACCTCCTATTCATTCCAGCACTAACAGCCCTATTCCTAGCCTTTTCCTGGGCCGGCACCAAGTACTCCTGGACCAGCGGCCCAGTAATAGCTCCCCTGGTCACCTTCACCATCCTCACGGCCGCCTTCATCTACAACCAAAAGCGCCTCGGAGACGCCGCCGCCCTCCCCTTCCGCATCATGAAGCGCCGCAGCGTCATCGCCGGCTGCATCTTCATCATGTGCGGCAACAGCACCGGCAACGTCCTCGAATACTACCTGCCCACTTACTACCAAGTCGTACGCGGATACACCCCCGCCAAGAGCGGCTACATGATGCTCCCTATCATTATCGCCGGCACCGTTGGCGCACTCATCCACGGCTTCGGGACCAGCGCTATCGGCTACTACGCCCCGTTCATGCTTTTCGCATCGATCATGATGCCCGTTGCCGCGGGCCTCATCACCACCTTTAGAATCAATACTAGCTTCGCCGAACTGATCATATACACTGCTTTCTCTGGCTTGGCCTACGGTATTGGCTTCTCCGGTCCGCAGAACGCTATCCAGGCGGTGTTGCCTGTGGAGGACGTGCCGCTGGGTACGTCGATTATGCTTTTCGCTCAGTCGTTTGGTCCGGCCGTGGCGATTGCTGTTGCGCAGGTCTTGTTTGTGGATCAGCTCTCGGTGAATCTGAGTGGTCTTGTGTCTGGCGTTGATAGGGCGAGTATTGAGAATAGTGGTTTGTCACAACTTGTGGCAGATATGTCGCCGGCTAAGACGAGGGATGTTCTCGTGGCGATTGATAGAAGTCTCATACAGACGTGGTATCTGGTGATCGGACTCGCATGTGCCACGATGGTGGGGAGTTTGATGATTGAATGGCGGTCGGTGAAATCGAGATGCGATTAGATACTACTCAGTAATACCTTACATGACACTTTATATAAATAGATAAACTTACACTCCCTCCTCATGAAGAATGAATGCATCCCTCCCCGGATCCCCCACCCTCCCCACCTCCAACAACCCCCTCCAAATCCAGACCCCCAAATCCACCTCTCTAAACGCCCTCCCAAACCACTCCTTCCCATTCTTCGCAATCGCCTCCGCCCTCTCCCTCCCCTCTCTACTCGACGTGAAATACCTCACCACCTCCGGTACCTCCTCCATCCCCAAACTAACCGGGATGTAATGCACCCACGGCCACAGTCTTTCATCATGCCACTCCCTAAACAGAGTCTGTTTAAGGGGTGCTGAATTCGACGCTAACAGACTATAAAACCTCCCGCTGATACCATTCCCATCTAGATCGAATATCAGCTTTGATTGTAAACCCTGGTCTTTATCCGCCCAAGAGTGTGGATGGAAGAAGCGGCGTTGGGCGCGGCAGGAGGCAGGTAAGCAGTTGAAGATGCGGGTGAATGAGATGGTGTAGAGGCGGGTGTTGAGGAAGGTGGATTTTCGTGTGGAGATTGAGGTTGGGGTTTGGTGGAGGTAGGTGTAGGTGTGGTGGTGCGAAGGGTTTGTGACTAGGCTGACGAAGCGTTGGCGGTGGAAGTTGTGCCAATCGTTGGTGTTTGTGGCGAAGGCGCCGGTTGTAGAACCGGCCCAGTAGAGGGTGTTTTGTTTTCGATGTCATGGGATGTCCTTTTCAGGGGTGTATTGGAAGTCCGGTGCTAGGTAGGCCGGACTGGGGTAGAGGATGTCGGTCATGGTCGAGAGGGAGCCTGTGGAGAGGATTGGGAGGAGGCCTGTTATAGGGCGGAAGGAGGTTGGGCTGAGGAAGATGCCGTGCTTTGTGCTGTATTCTGGGTGGAGACAGAGGTTTTTGGCTTGTTTGGGATCAGTGACAAAGGGGAGGTTTGGGGCTTGGGCTGGGTTTGGTGGTCTTGGGTCTGGGTACTGTTGGGTTGGTAGGTGCAGGGAGCTGATATAGTGTCCCATGTTGGTTGTCTGGACTGGTCCTTTATGCTCGGGCTGGTATGGATGTTGTTTGGTGGTGGGGGTATCACCCTTGGCTCATCGAGATGATTGACCAGGAAGGTGATGTCAGGCAGAGTAGCGGGTATATTCTAAAGTAAGGTATCGAATGTACGTTGAATATCCCGATCAAGGATGCGGAAATCATGCGAGCATTTTGTTTTGCTTGAGCTGCCGGAAAACGTACAAGTCCAGAGGTCGTTACCGGGCAGGTTGCGCGCATTTACTATGTTCTCGTTGATTTCTTTTCCGCTAATTCTCAACAACGGTAGTATACTGTCATATATAGCATCATAATCATCGATTATCGGCGACTGCTGAGCAGATGCATATAGGAACCAATCCTCGAATCCAGGTGGTGGTTCAATCTTGTAACGTCGGCGATACTCGTCGCATGCAGCTGCGTATGTGCGGGATTGTTTGTGGAGGGTTTCTTCGAAGTCGAGTCTGGCTTTATCCATCAATGCTGCGATGGGGTGGTTCTCGACTATTGTGTTGTTTGTGACATATATGGTCCATATGTTTGCGATGTATGGGATTATCGCTGCAAGACCAAACGTCCACAAAATCCATCGCCCTTTTAGGTTACTTGGAAGCACTTGGGTAAGTTGTGCAAGTACTAGTAACGAGGCGACAACGTTCAAAAAACCTTTGAGGTCTGATGACTGGTTGAACGGGCTACTGGCGGACAGAGTGCTGAAAATTACGATCAAGATAGCTGCACTCCAAGAAAAATGGTATATCTCCATAGCCGTCAGCAGAGTATCGTATATTGTGAAGCTTTGGGGCTTACGGTCTGAATAGTGAAGAAATAAGCAAAGGCCTTGATTGAGCCTGAAGCAAGTATGATAAGGGGATGTCCCCAGGAATAACCGAATATAATTATTTCCGCCACGACGGTCGCTGCCAACATTGGTAGAATTCTGGCAGCGAGGTGGAATGATGTCAACTCGACATCAATGCAAACAGGCAGTTCTCGTCCATGCTGAGACAAGATAATGATGGAAATGCCCAGGACACAGGCCAAGGGGATTAATGAGAGGCCCCATTCAACGAGGTTCGCTGAGGATGCGAGACTGAATGTTCCCAGCAATGAGATGATGCAGGGCCCGTGGAACGTTTCCGTCAGAAAGGAGAAAGAGCTCTTTCCTATCGAACTGTGTGTGCGGAACTTGAATACTTTTCCTGATATCAGCAATAATGGAAATAAAATTGGCTGGTGTCACATCAGTAATATATCTCGTTGAGAGTGCTTTGCCTGACGCACGAAACTTTGTAGGACCCCTATTTCCGACTTGAACCAAGAAGATATGCATACGCCAACAGCAATCAACCATAAGTGTGCGGAACGCAGAGATCCAGCTCTCGGCTGACTAGGGTTCTTCTTAATGGAGTATATTGAAAATTGATATCTAGAACTCAATCTGAATAGTATGGGTAGTGTTGCCCACGCCATCATTTCGGAGCCTATTTCGGCGCATTGGGTAGATGACTGGTGTAACAATATTTGCGTGAGAAGCGCAAGAGAAACTATCCCAACTGCTTTGTCCACCTGGACGAACGGATTCTTTGCGAACATGGCGTAAGTACGCTATGCTGGTAAATCCATTCGAACAGGTGAGTTTTATTGTTTGCTTCTATAGAAGGAAGAACAAGGTGTTTCTGCAGAGATTTTAGCATTAATCTGTCAAAAAATGGGCAAGGCTGGCTACGAGGTGTTTAGCGCTGGGAAATTTAAAACCCGACACACGCATACGTCTAGCACTGGTCAGGCTGGCCGAAAAAGAGGGTACTTCTGTCAGCTCACGCATATCGATCATCCCAAATGTCCAATCTGAATCGTGTAGCCTCACAAGGGATGTTGGTGCTAGAGGATAAAGTAGGTGGCCTAGTTAGGGCACCGAGTAAGCCCGATCCTTTGTACTGAAACTCACTATTTCATAGGCGCGACAAGGCTGCTAACACGCGGGGTAAGGCTGAGCTCTTGTCATCCAAACTCAATTTGGTTAATCAGGGTCTTGGGATTGTAGATCATCATTGGGCTTTACTAATATCTATGCAGGTGTCTGGGATATACAGCCACAGTAAGATTATAGTGAAATAGCCTTAAGACAGCTAGCCGTAGCGTTACTAATGAAAATTTGTGATTATTTCAATGACCAGTAGGAATTCTGGGAGGAACAGATCTTACCAGGTGTATCATATAGGATGGAAGATATTTCCGTGTACTTAATCCTTGACAGTCAGAAATGGGAAATCAAGGGTCTGTCAGGAAGTACTAGCGATCAAAAGCGGCTTGGTCTAGATCGCGCCTCTCGGCAGTAACAGGAAACGAAACAATGAGCCAGTCATCTGAAAGAATATTACTTGATTATTCACTGTACTATTTACTACCTTATGTTGTAAAAGCGGTCCATGTGTGCCCCAGTAACATACACTTCTCATTTTAAACTTATCAAGTAAGTAGCTTACCTTCCTTTCCTTCTCATCACCGATACCCAAGACTATTCATCCGCCCCTATCTCTACTATGTCGAACAAAAAGACAACTTATAAAAGTCTATATATATCATTTTGATGGGAATTATTTACGGAGTCGGACGCATCAGTTGGTGACGACTGACTGTCCTCCCCTCAGCAGGCATGGCATGCGATCAGCCACTGTCAAAATAAGAAGGGTCAACATGGATATATACTTACTGGTACTAAGAATGTATGATGTCCAGACGAGTCAGGCACTGTTGTTTATTAAGATTTTGAAGATTTAGTAACTGGGCGTAAGCTGTGACGCTTGATAGTAGCCAAGGACATATACAAACTCATTTATATATTGCGGATACTCTCATGTCTTGTGAACCAATGATCCACTACTAAGTCTACCGGACATGTCGGATTTGATCACTCAGCTAGTACATGGCTGCCATATAGTATAATTATGAGAAAGAAAATGAAGGCAACATCAGACCAAACATAATAACATTTGAGAGCTACTGTGTCACATCATCCCAAAGACATTTGGGGATGACCCAGGAGACACGCACTATGCACAGGCCTAGTATGTCCGATAAGTAGGGAATGGATTTCTTCCAACAAATGAGCAATCAGTGAGAATCCAGATCTTTGATCATTATTATCAGAGAAATGCAGTGCATCTTGCTCCACACAACCTATTCTGAGATAAGCAGTAGATACAGTAACTAGTAGTGTCCTTCCATGCCTATCTGAACCTGGATGGAGCCGCGTATATGGAGTTTGCCAATTAACTCCGACCATTGGACGCGTAGGTAACCGGAAAAGGACTAACCAAGTTACACAGGTAACATGTGATCCTGTAGGGTTATGATCGGGTATTTGCATATACGCCATGTGCTCAACGGTGCTGATTCTGTTGGCCAGTGGATAAAGAAGTGATCCTTCGTGGCGTGTTTTCATGCATATACGCATAGATGAAGAAGAAAATCAGCGTGGCCAAGCTTTCCACCCACTTACCGATAATCGACAGGAAGAATCGGAGATCGAGGCGGATCCTACGGGATCAAGCTTATCGGAGATTTTTGGCTTGCATTTTCTGCCACGAGGCACCTGCAGACGATGCATCTTAGCGTGCATACTTCTTCGATCGATTATACTTTGGTACAGTGATCAACTACACGTTGACTTTCTGTTTGAGTTGAGTTGAACCATGATATCCCATTAACTTTGTGTGTATTCTTTCTGCTACTCGTGGACAATAATTGGCGGAGGGGCATGCCGTCCCTTATTTTTCCCCGCAAACCCCTCGTGTCGGATCCCGGCGTAAAATGAGACTTGGCTTGGCTTTAGTCGGAGTTTAATTCTTGCCTGGGAATTTGTGTCACCCAGATCTATTGCAGACCAAATGATTCGATTCGAAACCAAAAACACGAGTCAGACACTATTGCACGCAAGCAAATGACACCAAACCGGTTCCTGCAGTCGGTGGGGGGGGCGCACTATGCTGAGTATGCTCATCACCGCCGGCCCCGCCGCCAGCATAAAAATCTAACGATGGCCGTCCCGCTACTAATGCGCTCCGGTTCGGAACGTCCCTGATTTTCCTGCTGCCCTCCAGTGATTGATTGTCCGTCTCCTCCCTCCTCTTTCCCCTTCACCTTCTCTCTCCCTCCTCCCCTTTCACCTCCTTTCTCCCCTCCCCCGGGATTGCCTGCAATTGCTCGCCAGCATGGCTTCCCCCAAGGTTCCGGATGCCATTGCCCCGGCAGAGCAGCCGCCATCGCCCTCCACCGATCGCCAGGATTCCATGGCTTCCGCAGCCAAGATCATCCAGAATGCCAAAGCGGCCACGGACAAGGAGCAGAAGATGACCCTGCTCCAGGGCGTCAAGCTCTATCCCAAGGCCGTTGCCTGGAGTATCCTTATCTCCACCTGCATTGTCATGGAAGGCTACGATATCAGTCTTGTCAACAACTTCTACGCTTTTCCTCAATTCAACCGAAAATACGGCGAGTTGTCGGCAGATGGGACATATCAGGTGCCAGCACGGGTAATTGACTCCCTACCCTCTATGTCCCTGGGACATGCGTGCAATTGCACCATTATCCCGCACGCCATGCAGTGCTCGCGTGACACAATCGGCTAACAAAACGTCTCCTGTGCAGTGGCAATCGGGTTTGAGTAACGGTGCCTATGTCGGAGAAATTATCGGCCTCTTCATCAATGGCTGGGCCTCGGAACGCTTCGGATATCGTTATACTATCATGGCTTGTCTCGTTTTGATCACGGCGTGGACTGCCATCTTCTTCACCGCCCCGAACGTCCAGGCGCTGCTGGCTGCGGAAATTCTGGCCGGTATTCCCTGGGGAGTGTTTCAGACATTGACCGTCACTTATGCGTCGGAGGTGTGTCCGGTGGCGCTGCGTGGATACCTCACGACCTACGTCAATTTCTGCTGGGGATTGGGACAACTGATCGGTATCGGTGTGATCAAGGGGATGATCAATCGGGATGACCAATGGGCGTACCGGATTCCATATGGACTGCAGTGGATGTGGCCATTGCCCCTCTTCATCGGGATTTCTCTCGCACCAGAATCCCCATGGTGGTTGGTCCGGAAGGGCAAGATCCAACAAGCCAAGAAAGCCCTGCTGCGGTTGACGAGCGTGAAGCGGGAGACCAACTTCGACGCGGACGAGACCATCTCGATGATGGTTCATACCACATCCCTGGAGAACAAGATCACAACGGGGGCCAGCTACCTGGACTGCTTCAAAGGCACCGACCTGCGCCGGACCGAGATCGTCTGCATGGTCTGGGCCATTCAGAACCTGAGTGGCAACTCTTTCTCCAACTACTCGACTTACTTCCTCGAGCAGGCAGGCTTGAGCACCGACAATGCCTATGCGTTCGCCATGGGCCAGTACGGAATCAACATGGTCGGCGTCTTCGGAGCCTGGTTCCTCATGTCCATCGGCCTGGGCCGGAGAACACTCTACCTGTACGGTCTCTGCGGGCTGTGCGTCATGTTGCTCGTCATGGGATTCCTTGGCCTAGTGCCCGAGGAGCACAAAACTCAGGCCGCCCTGGCAACCGGCTGCTTGATGATCATATGGGCGCTCTTCTACCAATTGACCGTCGGCACAGTCGCCTACTCCCTTGTCGCCGAGCTCTCCACCCGCCGCCTCCAAATCAAGACGGTCGTGCTCGGCCGCAACCTGTACAACATCGTGGCCATCGTCTGCGGTGTCCTGACCCCGTACATGCTGAACCCCGGCGCATGGAACTGGGGCAACTATGCCGGCTTCTTCTGGGGCGGCATCTGCTTCCTTTGCATCGTGTACACGTTTTTCCGGGTCCCGGAGCCTAACGGACGATCGTTTGCCGAACTCGACCTCCTCTTTGAGCGGGGAGTCAGTGCGCGCAAGTTCGCCCAGACCCAGGTCGATGTGTTTGACGAGACCATGGAGCATGGGACCGTCGATCACTATCAGACGGAGAAGACCGTGGCGGCCGATGTGGCGGCCGTTGGGAAGGAGAATTCGAACTCGAATTCGAATCCAACTTCAACTTCACCGCAATGATGAATGACGCTCCTTTTGTAATAACAATTAATATAATAATGTACATAGAGACAGCTAATAATGAACATAGACGATTAATGATTCATTCTCATGCTTACTGAGTCGTTAGGTGGGCTTGATGTTACTACTTTGACAATTGACAGGTTCCTCATGACATCTCCAAGACCAACCCATCATACAGTCCAATCCACTTACTCGTTCGACCACTCCGGCTTCTTCTTCTCCGCAAACGCCGTCATGCCTACCGCCGTCAGCATCAACCACTTTCCAAAGAAAAGAAAGAAGCAGACTCACCAATCTTCTGATCCCTACTCCCAAACAACCCATGAAACAGTCTCCTCTCAAACTCCACTCCCTCCCTCAACCCAACTTCATACCCCTTATTCACGACCTCCTTACCCGCCACCACCGCAACCCTTGAATAACCCGCAATCGTCTCCGCCGTCTCAACTGCAACATTCACCACCTCATCCTTACCTCCCTCCACCACTCTCGCCGCAACACCCCACTCTCCCGCCTCCCTTCCACTGAAGTTCTTCCCCGTCAGAATCAACTCCATCGCCTTACTCTTCCCGACGGCCTTCGTGAGCCGCTGCGACCCACCCGCTCCCGGGATAACCCCCAGCTTTATCTCAGGCTGTCCGAAGGTCGCGGTCGACGTGCAGTAGATGATATCGCACATGAGGGCGAGTTCGCATCCGCCGCCCAGGGCGTAGCCGGAGACGGCGGCGATGACGGGCTTGCGGATTGCGTTGGCGAGGTGCGACCAGGGGGCGATGAAGTTGTTGCTGTATGCGGAGGAGAACGTTAGGGGGGCCATTTCTTTGATGTCGGCGCCGGCTATTTATCAGAACATTTGGTTGTTAGTGGTGTGTGTTGGTTGTGTTATTGGGAGGGCAGTGGCGCACCTGCGAAGGCTTTCTCGCTGCCGGTGATGACAATCGCGCCGATGTCTTTGTCCGTGTCGTAAGTGGTTAGGGCATCGTTGAGTTCTTCGAAGAGTGGGCTCGAGAGCGCGTTGAGGGCTTTGGGGCGGTTGAGGGTGACTGTTGCATTGCGATTGAGGTTGTGGTTAGTATTGGATTGGTTACATGCTTGTTGCTATGCTATTGATTGAATGTGACTGTGGAAGGGGCATACTCAGTCCTACGCCCGGCTTGGGAGTCGAGGTGAGGATGTGCTCGTATGCCGAGGTTGCGGTTGCGGAGAACGGACGGCCGCGGGCAAGAAAGGAAGTCAGAGGGATGGCAGTGCGGGAGGAGACGAGACGGGAGCACTGGCGGGAGAACATATTGAGAGCAATTACTGATTATCTAGTATATGAGAGGAGAGAGATGTGTGAAGAGATCAATTGCAGATGTGGTCGAGAGAAACAGTCGGGGAAAGGGAAGGGGGATATGATGATGATAGTAACAGCTCCCCGCAAATCCCGCCGAGTTAACCCCGGCAATAGCCGTGACAGCTTTTGCACGTGATAGCTATCGCTGAGTCAGCGGCCCCTGAGGCGCAGTCATCATGACAGTGGCTGGTGCCATCCAAAACGGGCTTAGCGGGAGCGGCCGGGCAGTGGCCAGTTTTCCCGCGAGCAGCTGCTGGCTGGCTGGGCTGTCCTTCACCTTCATCAGCTGAAGCACTTTCGCATTCCTAATCCATTGCTTTCTGTCCGTGCTCGGTGCTGTCTTTGTGCCCTATGCGCTGAGTCTGCTGGGTGCCTTCTTGTCCGCTTTTTCGTCTCCTCTCTCTCTCTCTCTCTCTCCACTCTCCTCTCTTCTTCTTGCTACGCGATAGATAGCCACATCCACATTTCCACCATGGACGTTCCTGAGCCTGAGCAGACGCCTTTCACGGCCGTGACGGCGCAAACCTCGAAGCTGGCTAGGGTATGTGCAGACACTCTCTGATTTGGTTTTCGCAATACCTGTCGCAATCCTGCACCCAGCGCAGACGACATGCCCATCCGCTACCCCAACAAACAACTCCTACCCACGGACCATGACATTACATGATAAGCTAACTACTACCTCACACAGCAATACCAAACCTACCTCGACGCCTCCACCCCATTCACAGCCTACCGCTGGACCGGCACCGTCGTCCTACTCCTCATCTTCTTCCTGAGAATCGTCCTCGCCCAGGGATGGTACATCGTAGCCTACACCCTCGGCATCTACCTGCTCAACCTCTTCCTTCTCTTCCTGCAACCCAAGTTCGACCCGTCCCTGACGCAGGATGAGGGTCTGGAAGACGGCGACGCCGCCGCTCCCAGCCTGCCCATGAAGCAAGACGACGAGTTCCGTCCTTTCATCCGCCGTCTCCCCGAATTCAAGTTCTGGCACTCGGCCACTCGCGCCATTGCTATCGGCTTCGTGTGCTCGTGGTTCGCTGTCTTCGATATCCCGGTGTTCTGGCCTGTCTTGGTGGTTTACTGGATTATTCTGTTTGTGTTGACCAGTGAGTATACCAAATTCTGCTTATCTTTGGTGGGAGGCGAAATTGGTGCAAGGCTAACCCGAATCAATCTACTAGTGCGCCGCCAGATCCAGCACATGATCAAGTACCGCTATGTGCCGTTCTCGTTCGGTAAGACGCGGTACGGTCGGTCATAAAAGCGACACGAACACAAAAAGAAAAATAGATATATCTTTTCGTCTGCCTGAATCAATGAGTCACGGCAGATTGCAATGAGATGTGATGAGACGAGACGATGATGTGGTGTGATTCGATGATAAAATTCGTCATGTCATGCTATGCGATGCTTGGCTTTGTGCTCTTCTCTGACGGCTTACCCTAGTACGTCTATATATTATTGATGAATTAGATGTGACCGTCCGGGATACTCCTCCCCTTCCTGTCTATGCCTTGCCCCATGTACTCTCCTTCAGACCGGAATAGGTTGTTGGTAGATACACGGAGATAATGGATGAGACAAACAAGCACAATAACTACCTTACAACCCCTTTAATTTTCGCTGTTTCCTTCTCTTCTCTTCATGATGATCTTTTGAGTGTGACCTCGTGTGGCCTTGTGTGTATGTGTGTCTGTGTGTGAACTGACTTTATGAAACTTTACTACCGGGATGTTATACTAGTATCTTCCTACTATTCAATGTGTACAGAATTAAGTCAATGCCGTTTATGCTTATTGTTCTTCTCGCTTCTTCTACTCCTGCTTCTGCCTCTACATCCCTGTGCTATTAGAACTTAAGCTTATCTTTAGTGTATTGTGTGTAATTTACTGGTATTGTGGCTAACGAATAGATCAAAGTGTTGCTAATCTGATACTTAAGTCCAATTTACAGGATCCCGGGATAAGTAGTATTCTTTCAAATAGTAATGGGTCAGGCTTGATTGGTCTAGAAGTGGTACTACTTATATAGCAGAAAGAAAGCCTGAGGTTCTTCTTCTCTACTCCTTCATGTTGTAGAAAAACCACATTATACTGAGTCATACATCTGTGATAAGAAGTAAGTAGTAGTTACTTGTGGCATACAGGTAAAGTTCATTGTTGTCTATTCTAGACTTTTGACTATGTGCATAGAGTAAGAAAATCAAGGGGTCATCGATGGAAGTAATAGGAAATATGTAGGAAAGAAACGCTGACAATGCCATCAAGGCAACAAGTATCAATCATCGGCGGTATGTAGGAAACATAGCAACATTAATATTCAAGGGTGGAAGCAAAATCATATCTCAAGATGCTCTACGCTATTTCTCTTCGGGGTGATATTGTCTAATGACAGAGCCGACATGGCGCGACTAGGTGCTGGACGATCGAGTTCTTGCGTCTTGGTGCAGATCCAGGTGGAGGCGTACATGTTTACACTGTTCTCCGTTAGTGTAATTCTTCATGCGGTACAGCTATCAATATGATGGTGCTCACCGATCTATGCAAGTGCCCGGGAATCTGGCACCAACGCGGCGTGCGGAGAAGCCATTCTGCTCAAAATGCTGGATATACCATGGCTCGATGCTCGCGGAACGGAGTAGTATCCGGCCGCCCATTTTCAGGGCGTGGTTGAGCTTCTGTGCTTGGATGGAGGCTTCTTTGCCTTCGGGGTCGAACCAATCCATAGAGTCCATGACCTATATGGCTTGTCAGTTTAAATGTATTTGCGCTGATTGGAGTAAGAACATACCACAGCGATAGTCAGGCTGCGTGGCTTGATCCGCTTGATCACTTCGTTAATCTCGTCTGTGTGGATGCGGAGACCGTCGAATGCGCCGGGCGAGGAGAGCTTCACATGAGACTTGGGGGAGAGGTATGCGGGATGACATCTGTCATTCATCAGTTAGGGAACGTAAGCTTCCGTGGCATGATGAGCTTACCTCCGCGAGAACTGTCCCTGCAAGCAGAGGAAGTAAAAGTAGTTGTCGTTGCTGATCAGAGTGTCCTGGACCACCGGATCCAAGGTGTCCACCACGTACTCCCAGATCGACTTGCCGCTGACATCCTTCGCCTGATTCATGTCCTTGTTCAAGCCGTTTCTCTTGAAGTAATCATCGATAATCATGTTACGCTGGTTACGGGGCACGCCTGCGGCCTTCCATGCGAACCATTCCGTTCCCACCACTGCCCAGTGAAGAGGCTTGCTCATCAGGACAGAACGAATTCGGGGCCAGATCTTGCGCTGTTCTGCCAAGGTCTGGGCTTCACAGAGCTGTCGTACCTGGCTTTCCAGGCCGAAGACCTTGAAGAGGTAGCGGACCATCTTAATAGCATGGCGCGATCCACCCGTCTCGTAGAGTCCCTTACCAGAAGAGGAAGTGAAGATATGGGTATGCTCCAGCCAGTACTGGAAGGCTTGACTAGACAGGTGTGGGCTCAGTCGGGAGATGAGTAGGTTGCGGAACTCGGGATGCTTTCCTTCACCGAAGATCTTCCACACATCGCGGTGGCCCAGAGCCATGAAGCTAGCCACCTTGAGTTCCAGAAGGTGGTTCTGATTTGGGTTCAAATCCACCGCATGGACACGACGCGGGCTCTTCTGAAGATAGTCGAGGATGTTGTCACCGGCGCTGGTGATGGCCAAAATGACATCGTCTCGCTTGATATCCAGCAGGCGGTGGTCAACGCGGGGATCTTCCCAATTGAAAGCATAGATGTACTCATTTCCAAACTGAGTGTGTTTTGGGAGGAGGTCATTGTAGAAGATACGGTGGTGGTGATTCTGGTAAAAGGATGAAGGGAGAGGCAGATTCGCGCTCAGATTGATCACAGCCGACTCATAAGCCTTGGATCTGATTTCCTGAGTGCTGTTCACAACAGCAGTCTCCATCTCCTTGCGATGGTTGGCGGGAGAGAGGTACGGCGACTCTGTGAACGAAGCATTCAACTTCTCGATGGCCTCGCGACCAGAGTGAGTGGTCGAATCTTTCTGGCAACCGACAAAGATGTAGTATGGGATACCACCCAAAAGGTAGTTTCTCTCGCTGGCAGAGATGACGGTTCCGAATCGGTACTCCAGGTAGTCACGGCGGGCTGCCTCCAAGCTGACCCGGTCCACGTCGAACCAGGCACGCCAGAAGACACGACCGAGCCAGTTCACATGTCGGTTGAAGGCACCGCCAGTGTAGTTACGCGACGAGACATCAACGATGCTTTGGACTATCGAAAGTCAGAGGGATTGCGTCGACAGGTCTTACTAGGCTTACCATAGAAGTCACACACTCCGAGAACGCCAGTAGGCTTCAAGAGTGCAGGCAGCGCATCGATTACACTGTAGTAGTCTGTATCGTATGAGCACCACTCTTTGATATGTCACTAAGCGCACCAACCTGGAATCATAGACAAGCTATAGCTCATTGTTGCCAAGTCAGCACCGGCGCTGCTCTCGCTACGGGGGTCAATCTTGTCATCCTCCAGCAAACGGAAGGAGCGAGCATCCTGGCAGACGACGTGAACATTCTTCCATCCCAGCCTTTCGAAGCGCTGGCGGGCCACCTCACAGAGCGAAGGCGATAGATCGACCAGATAAACGCGGGCGAAGAAATCCTTGACGGGAAGAAAGGCAGACATGGCTTCAATGTTGTATCTAATAATGGTTAGGGGTCGATTGGATGTTGTGTCCTCGAGAGTGCTCACCCAGTGCCTCCGCCAATCTACATTGTTAGCCAGGACTCACTCGGTAAGACTGCATAGGTGATACTTACATCAACCCAGACAGCCTTGCCGGACTGAAGCTGCTTGTTCTCGACTTTGTGCTTCAGTTGGGCTGCAACCAGACCCAGCATATCCTCTCGACCGCGCAACAAACGTTTGCGAGTGGCATCGTAGACGCCAGCCTATGTCCAGTTTTGTCAGCCAATGGAACTAGGCAGTCAGTTGGCGGTTGTCTGGCATACCTGCGTCTTGTAGAAGCTCTCGAGAGCATCCTGTTGGCCATTTCCGTGCTTCTCGTGGGGTTTGAGGAACGTTGCGTATGCGAACTTGAGATAGGTGAAGACACCGCTATTGTAGTCAATTTTGCGCTTCTGCGACGACAACATCATGACCACTGCGACGAACGCGCAGACCGCGAACGCAGTTCCAGCAATGTAAACATGTAGCCAGTTCAGTTGGTCCCAAAAGGGACCGATTATACTGCTGGAAGACATGAGGGCGCAAAGGGGTGTAACGGGATACAGTTGAAGCCTCCTGTCGAATGAAGGACAGATGAGAGGCAGATCTCCTGCCTCGAGATTGCGAGGACGGGCGGCTTCTTGAATCAATTGCTCTGTAGTACCGACAGAGCAATGCGGGAGAAGTTGGCCACATCTTTGGGATGCACGCCCCACTTGCGACAGCCCCTCCTGGTCCGAGTTGAATTTAAAAAAGACATGAGCGCAGCGCGATGCCCTATCAGGGGGACACATGGTCCGGGGATGATAAGCTGCATTGGCTGTCCGTGGTAAAAGAGTGAATGGCTCGCGGGAAGAGGTGGAGGAAGGATCTCCGGGTGGTTCTCGGGGACCAGCTGGCACCGAATTGCAGTAGGAGACCCTCGTTAGCAGAGGATGAAGAGGAGAGTAGGTTGCAGAGCTTGTATGGATGCATCTGCGTATAGTTCGGGTAGACCAATCAAGGGTGCATGTGCCCGCACGCCGTGGGCTCCCGGAGCCACTCGCCGCCAATCAATCCCGCACGCCAGCCCCAGGCACCTCAATCTTCCAACTTATTGGTACAGGCCCAGATCAACGGTCAACACCCATCCATCGTCTTCCCAATAATAGCAGTCATAACAAGAGGTTATATCGGGCAGATCCTCGATGCAGACGCACTGCCGTCAATTCCTCCCTCCCTTTATTCCCCCTTCCCTCCTTTTCGTCGCTGGTCAGGTACTAGGGCGATCCCGGATTCTGGGAGAGGCACATGTCTGATAAACTTTGTACACCCACGGTCAGCTAGTGAACTCCAGTGTAGCATGAAAGTATAAAATTTCCAAAACTACTAACCCGGCCTGGCAAAGGAGTTACAGGCTGGTCTGCGACTCTCCACACTGCTGCGTACTCACCCGATCCATGCACGTACGCATGCCCCCTCGCCGCCACCTGAAGTCTGCGTACATGATACCCCTCCTTGCAACCGCGATAGCCGAGTGCTTTATGTCTTTCAGGTTAGACATGTAGAC